TTATAATCTTAAACAAGAGTGCAAGAATTAATTTAAGGTAGAGCTCAATCAAAAGTTTAAGTTCATCATAGGATGAGGAGTGAATTACATCCTTCGTAGTTCAAATAGTTTCATTTTCGAACTCTTTCCTCTCCCCAGGCCCCGAATTCACTACTCTTACTTTGGTCGACCTTCCCGGCGCTCATTTCGCAAATGACGATCCACGCATGAGCCAAGTGACTCAAGATTTAATACTGGAATACATCGAGAAGGCGGGTTCCATGTTCAAATATTCAATTCGTTATTGCGCTCCTGAAATGATTCGCGGGTTCAATATTCAAATAATCAAATCATTAATGTAGTCCTGAGGGGTACGCTTCACTTAGTTTGACTGTAAGTGGTTGATCGAGAGCAGTTTAAGGCGCTTTAGTTTAAAACGTATTAGGTATTTTATGTCGAATCATACAGAACTTGTACATTTGGTTGTATTATTTACTATCTCTTTGCTCGCAACCAGAAAGTGGACCTGATATACATTTAATGGGTAATTAGCTGAGCTAAAGAGTTTTAAAGGTGTTTCATAGAAACTGGAAAACCTTCGATTTTACTCAGTAGAATGCCGAAATAATTCAGAATTGCGTTTGTTTGCTTTATAAAACACTGGGATTGGTCTAAAAAATGTCTACTATCTCCTCCACCAATCAGATGCAACTTTAAAATCAACGGAGACGTTCAACCGCATTTTCTTGCGCCTAAGGCCATTCAATTGCATCTACTTGGAGATATCATTGGTTTCTTGTCAAAAGTCCACTATCATCATCAACAGTTGCCTCTCATGATCACTTGGAAACGAGCGTCAAAGCAGCCGACGAATGTTTTTTACATGTTATGAGATATTAGACTATTATTTAATGGGTTTGAGCCGATTCACCGTATTATGCCAGTGGTGAAGCCTCATTCAGAAGGCAATCAGTCAGGGCTAGAAACGCAAATTTAAAAGGCACAGAGATATCGTGTACATGTAGCCAGATTTCCCTGATATTTCGCTCAAAAGGTAGCGTTCCAAAGCTTTCCTGATTCGATCAGGTCGGCATTGATGGTTTTAGCACATTGAGCCAACGTGCATCGACTTAATAATGTTTTTTTCGTCTTTTTTTCCACCTAACCGACCATAGACCTACTCATGATTTGAAAATGCTACATGCTACAAGGTACTAACAGTTACAACAAACTCGACTTTCAAAGATAATCCTTTCCATTTCATTCAACTTACTCAAATACATCTATGATGCCCCAGCCTAGAGGTGAACGTAATAAATAATTATTTTTTCGTTTCCTTGAAAATATTTGGGGCTTAGCAATCTTTCGCTGACACTTAGACCATTATGATCGCGCTCTCTTTTTATTCTACTCTATACATTGTTTTAATACAGAAACTGCTGTTCCCGACGAGTTCTTATCATGTTTTGCCAAGCCATCATAAGCCATTGATAGTTTGATTGAGAAAAAAAATGATCTCAAAAGCATAAAGGAAGTTATGAAGGGTGCAAAATACTATACTGTTTCCGGCAAAACCTAGAATTGAGAATCGCCACGAATTATATCTGTGATGTTCTGGGTATTCGGCTTGGGGCCAAGGACATGTGCCGACAGGTCGGAGATGTGTATCACTGTTTTTTCAAACAAAATTAAGCAAAAGTTGTACACTTTCGAAGAAAAGTTCAATTAACTTGCATTTTTTCGTCTTCAAAATGATCACCGTTTTAAAACACAGTAAAAATAAAAATAAAAAAATTCCGCCTTATATATTTACTGATAACTATTAACTTTTTGCGCCATCTGTATTTGTTTTTAAGATCCAAAGTTGTTAATAGCTTAAACCTTTGTAGTCACCGCTAGCGTCAATTTTGTTAAAGTGAAACAATATTGCTAATCTATTATGTATACAAATAATAAAACCGTTGTTATCTTTTCTTCAAAACGTCAAGGCAACGAATTTAAATTTTTTTATGGCTGACAGATTAGAAAATATACACATTCATACGCGGGAAATGTTTCCTATTCTGATTTTAATGATACATCTGTTTCTGATCTATTTTCTCGAATCTATTTGGAAAATTGAGTGAGGAGACAGTTTTATGTCATTTCAGGTAAAAGGGTCGAAATAGTATTGCAAGCAATTGAATTTATTATAATACCTCGGTGCTTAGAATTTTGTCGAGCATTTGGCCATAATCACTGGAGGAGATTATTACGTGCAAAAAAAAATTAGAACTATGCTGAATGCGAACCATTTACGCATACAACTAGCTCGTTACTTGATATGACAGAGTCACAAATTAAACAAACTCGCAAGAGAAAATAAGTGTAACCCTGGCACAATGTTCCAGAAAACGGGGCAAACAAACTAAAAAAGATTCTTAATTGGCTAAAAAGCATTTCAAATGATTTGTTTAGCTCTTTGAAGTGTAATACAGATTAAAAAAAAAAGCGTAATTGTTGGCAAATTAGAAAATTCAAAGGGCTCATCTACATTTGTTTCTTTTTAAAATGGTAATATACATTTCGTTGTTTTTACAGTTATCTTGCCGACCTCTGCGTGTGGCCGATTCTTAAACCAATATTTGTTTCTAGAGCTTAGCATACGCACAGTAGGGGATGAAAAATAAGCTTAGAGCATCCCCCTCTTATCAAGAAATTAAGCGACATAAAACTTGCATTTTAGTAGCATTCGCTCAATATTAGTTTTGCCGTCTCGACGCGAACAATACAAGGCCGTTACACTGTCCGGATCGGCGCTTCACGCGGGAAACAAAAGGCGTTGGTGAAAAGAGGTAATTCTTTTTAATTGCACTTGAGTTTCATCCGAGCAAAGTTCATTTTTTGTGACTTTTAAGTTTCCAGCTGATTGAGATGGCTGGAGCATGGATCCACAATGTGGATGCGTGAATCTTTTAGAGGAAAGTTTAATCTACGTGGGGTCTTTCATCTAAAAAGGTGCTTTTGAAGATTCATCCGTCGCCTCAATTCCGTAAACAATTACTTGAAATATGACAAGACAAGAGAAAATTACAATTATACTCACGAAATGCCTCGGGTAATAACTTAGGAACATTTATCATGAAAAAGAAATTGTTTTATGAGCAAAAAATTGCGAGAATCATCATAAACTTCAGATCTACTTTTCTGAGGTCTTCATTTCTTTTTTTTTTTCAGAAAAAGTTGGTTGTTCAAATGCTAAAATGGTCACTCTGAACTCAAATCCCGAATAAGAAAGGAATCATTGAGCAATATTCAGTAAGACAGCAATTCAGTCTTGTCTAGGTTCCACTGGCCTACCTATCTTTTCAGTTTGGTTCCGCTTGCATAAATACTGCTTCAACTGTGATCGCCAACTATTCATAATCGCTGCAAAAAGCCATTTACAAAGGTGCGAATTTGTTAAGGAAACATTATAGTAATCCAATCCTGACTGCCTGTGGGAGCCAATAACTAGAAGGAAATATTTACTAAACAATGCCGAATGTTGGTAATGCCAATTCAGATATCACACGATTAAATTTTAGATGAGTGTTTTAAGTACAAAACTCACTTTGGATCCGGTAATTAAAAACTAGACGTAAGTAAACAAACGATAGACTTATTTAAACAGATATACGCCAAAAATTAAAAATTCTGATCATAGCGCTCAAATATATTAGAAAGGTAAGGTTGCCAGCTAGGAAAAGTTCCGATGACCAAAATAGTAAAGAATTATAAACCGATCTGGTCTTAGTAAAATGTTCTCATACAGCAAAAGAAATAATTCTATGTGATCGCTAGGTTTTCATTCATTCATTTATTCGCACTATTTCAAGGTATAGCTCTGTCCTCTTTTTGACAAAGAAACTAGCCGGCGCGAACAAAACAATGATTTCTATTCAGGTAGAGAGTGATTTTAAAATTGTCCACCATTGAAATCATAAGCCCGTTTTTATGATGAGAATCTTTCAGTGAGTAATTCCTGCCAAATGTTGTGGGAGTCTCGCCTAAGCCACTTAAGGAAAAGCACGTATCTACATAGAAGAATTTTTTTAACAAAAGTAACAAAGGAAGGAAGGAGGGGCAGCTAATCACGAGGAAAATTCGGAAATAACTGCTTTTTTATGCATGTAAACAATGTGCACGAGTATCCGCTTAGTTCCCTGACGAAAGTTCCTTCGAAGCACACTATAGGAGTTTAGCAGGTACATTTTGCAAGAAGATGAAAATCATGGCAATTCGACATGGCACACTTTCTTCTGAGTTTTATTTTGTAGACTACAAACTGTAAATTTAGGACTGATGGCGGCTTTCGGCTTATTAACATTTTATAATTTGTGGCTTTTTTTTCACCCCAAAAGTAACCAAATTTTTTTCGTTAGAAAGAACACCCGTGCTAAACATAGTCAATCGTCCCCTTGTTTTATTTATTTATTTATTTTTAATTTAAACAAATATTGAACTTTTTTAAAAAAAATCGAAAATTAGTTCTAGTCCTTAATTTCCCTTAAGACCAGACATCGGTCGCCACATGGCAGACACGCGGATGAAACTTGTTGGTTACTAATTTGTGTTTTCCAAATATCTCAGCGTAGTGCAGTAATCGATAGTGACGTAACACGTCACGCGCCTCCCCCTTGTTGCGTGTTTACATTTCACTTCTAGAACATGTGGGCTGAAAGTTTTTTTTTTTTCAACTAAACTAAATTGGGCTTGATGCACTCACCAAACATAGTCCATACAGTTTCCCTCGTTAATTAGAGGTTGAAGGCATTTATTATCGGCTCTTTTACACAAGAACTGACATGGACGCAACGCGTGATCTATTCAAAGTAAAACATGGTTTTCCTCCAGTTGGGTCAAGTTCAACGAAGTACTTTATCATTTCCCGCCACGCTTCTCACGAGTGACGAACGATTAATGAATTAATAAATAAGGAAAAGCGTTCTTCAAGTCACATGAACGATTAACACTGGCTACCAGCAAAGAAACACGAACACGCTGCTTCACTCCAAATCCCTTCTCGGTGTGGGAGGGAGAACATTTAATAATTGTCGTCCTTAGTCGAAACCAAAGTAGAATTTTCAAGGACTATCGCTACAAGTACATCAACTAAAAGTGAAATTAGCGATTGAAACGCCCTCGCTTAAAATAAGGACTCAAACAATTCAGGTAAATATGATGACTATAATGTACTATAGTATTTGTGTGTGTGTTGAAATGATAAACATTTCGAGTATTCGTAGTTAACTAAAGTTAAGGCTAGGGAGGCGTTAAAAAATTGAAAATAATTTCTTGCAATTTATACCGTGCTCGAGACTCGGAAGGAAACTGATACATTTGATTTCATGACAACCTTATTCTAATTATCTCGTTTCTCGGCCGAGGTCACCATTAATAATCGCGAGAATGAATCAAAACATTGAAAAACTGGATATAGAGCAGAAATTCCCTGCTGGGAAGATAGTCAAATAAATATAATGAGGAGATTATCTTTGTAAAATGGCATTCTTAAGTGGACTCTTTGAGGCGGTAATCCATTCCAAAACGTTTAGGACTTCTCATCAAGATTTTCTTTTTAAACTAGTCTCCAAGATTCTGTGATTGGTATGTTTTCAATATAATTATTACTTCTGCTGATTAAACGCTATTTCTAATTTTCTACTCATTGGGAAATGCGTAGATATTATAGCTTTTCCACAAGATTATCATGACATTTAATAGCTATCGACGATCTAATAAAATTACAGCTTTAAGTCACTTGAAAAATGACACTTTCAAAGACACAGTTTAATCGTAATTAATTTTCCTATATTTTGTCTTGTACGAAAAACGATTTTGGCCTGACAGCTGTGTGGGTGTTCCTTTTGTTCACTTTTTGACTTAGCTTCTGCGCAACGAATAATCTACTTCTCGGTCAAAAGTTTAGTTTGTTTTTATAAGAGAGTTGAATTCTAAGCTTTTAAGGATTACAAGAACTCGCTCTAAACTCCAAGTCTCCAGAATAATAAAATGTGATTGGACGAGAATCTGAACCAACTAGACATCAAGGTCAGGTCTTGAACGGAGGCTAAGTTCTAGTCACGTAGACGAAAATGGCGTTTATAACAAATATAGATGCGATTGATGATACTGCTATCCGCCAAAATTTTTCTTAAATCAGTTTGAAAGCTATACCCAGGTAAAGATGGAGTTAATTTTATTTCATTATCGCAGTTTGTGACAATTAGACATTGTTTGAAGACCTGGGTTAAATAAAAAAAAGCATATCAGGCTGAAGACGGCGCCGGTCAGCTTGTCTGTCAGTTTATTCTAACTGCAGGTGTTCTGTTATCGTATTATATAAACAAGATAAACGGTTTAACAGAACCTGAGGTATTTTGATTTAAAAGCTGATAGGCTACGGTCCCTAACAGGATAAATTTGAATATTTCGAAATTCAGTCACGGCTTCGGCAATTTAGTTTGATTCAGTGAATTTGTGGTAGGCTGACACCAGGTATTTTTGCTTTTTTTTTTTTTTTTTTCTCGAGATCCGTAATACACAATCACCGTGTGTGGAGCAAACACCTTCAATACTTTTTCATATGTGAGAAGATCGGGTTTCTTGCCCATACCTCACACGAAACCACCTTGTAATTGTAACATGTATGACTATACAAATCAACGTTTGATTATAAATCATCTTGTCATCTTCAAGAGGCATATGCATCAACGCGTATCTATGTTGAGCCTATTAATCACAGACACTTAAAATAGCTCAAAGGTTTTCGAATGCCGTTAATTCACGCCTCTGCCATCTCGAAGTGTCTCACACTCTGTGCTGTACACCTGAATTCTTTGAATGAGTACAAACATTGATTTAGTGTAAATTAGAAACTACGAAAAATCGGAATTTGTGGGTAACAGATTATCTTCCTCTCTCATCCAGTGAGACGGAAGTATTTTAAACCTCTTTAAGTATAAATCACTTCTCCCGAAAATTGTCATGTAAATTTTCCTCTTTACTTTTCCTTTTTATCAGTTTAATTGATGCAATTGATATTGTGTCTGGCTTAACATAATTTTTTTTTGCCTTGTTTGGTTTCAGGGTTTCCATAACAGAGTTAAGGAAACTACAGGTGCAGACATCTTCATCGCAATCCAGCTATACCATCCTGAGAGCACAAGCATCTTCTTTTAGTAGCATCTGAAACAGTCTATGGACACAATGAGGACCACACTCAGCGACGAAACTAATGAACTCGATGAAAATTTAGAACTGAGCGAACAAAGGGAGACACGGTGTCGACAGGTCGCGCGGGAGTTGAAGCGTTTAGGAGACGCGCTCGAAAACAGGTATTTTCGTCCATTTCAAGTTGTTGAACAAAATCAAGAGAGGCGTCCTCTTGGACTTAACTTGTTGGAAATTGCCAGAGAAATCTTCCGGCGATATGTTACGGAACTTTTTGCGAGGAATAACTGAACTGCGGAATAAGAAGAAAGATATTTCCGATCCAACTCTCGGGACTGTTTGTGCCGTTGACAACTATATCTGATCATGACGTTAGAATTTTGCCGCGCAGCATTTTCGATTATCGTGTGACCAGCTGAATCAGCAATTTCGAACAGTCACGAAAGGAGTTTAAATCACGTAAGAATATGGATGTCGAAACAACTATCAAGGCCAGTCTGGAAAAACATCCATTCCTGGCTTAGAATAAAGTTTATCGCGGAAAGGTTCTTAACGGGCTTCGTTTGAAAACGAAGTTAGAATTGTATCACGGTTAAGAATCTCCATGTGTTTTAGTGCATAGCTTATAATTGGAATTTTTTTATCCATGTTTACCGGCGTGCTATGACAACGTTAGTTCCCATTTCAGAGATCGGTGGCTTTAAGATAACTAGCAGAAATAACCACAAAAACAACTAATGATAAAACAACATGCGTTAAATCCACAATGTTTTTTTGCTTCCGAGAAAATAAAACGGCCAACAATACACGCTTAATAGCGGTTATTTATAGTAAAACAATTCTTGTCGCCGGTCCCTAAATTCAAAGTTAGATGTAAATACAAATGAAAATCACCCGTGTTAGCGACACGTGATGACAGAAAGTGGAATTTTCTGGAAACTAAATAAACATATTTAAAAATAAAATTTGTAAAATTACGTGTTAGTTCAGTCATTTTTCAGTCGCGAAATATCCGTGCTCGCCGGAAGTGAGCGCAAACGATCCAGCGCTTTAGGAACCCTTTTCTGTTCAAACTAAATGGCGCGTATCAAGGTAGAGTTTGTAAACGCTCTTTACAGTTGCCTTAATTTTGAATTCAAATAGTGAAGATAAACTTGAAAATTATTTCATACTCAGTTTCATACTTTTGCATATAACTGACTAGTGTAAAACTTCCAAAAAAGGTTATCTCGCGATAGCACATTTGAAGTCCCACTGTAAATTATTTTGCCTAGGTGACGTTATTGCCGCTTTTGGTTCAATAATTTTCTAGAACACACATATTGCGTGAGATGTAAAAAAACAACTGGTTTATGAGATAAACAAACAGCAGCTGGGAAAAAAATTCTAGAATCTGTGTGCACGCTCGGAATGCAACGAGAATATGTTACAAGCGAAACAAATTGAGCACAAAGCTGTGGTATTTGCATAACTCTTATCATTTTGATCGACAAGCCGGAACGATTTTACCGTTTTCTTAAAGAGTGTTGTCCGGAGAAAAGTACTTCTGGGGAAAATAATATGACAATGACACTTAAAGAGATAGGAAGTGATATTGTAAAGCAACTCTTAAGGCTGTACCACTATAATGAAGAAGAAAAAGATTTGTAAGGAGCATTTTAGCTCTTTTTTATTTGTGATAGAAAACCGACCTTTAGAAGAAACGATGCGCGATTAGCATCAATAAAGTCTTTGTGAACGGAAGTAAAAGGAAGTCGAATTCAACTTATCCCACTAAAGGTGTATTTAGATGGGCTGTAATCAAAAAGTATCGAAAGATAACAGCGAGACAAAAACTAAACAAAGCGAGAGTTAACTGTTTATCTCGCAATGTTTTGAGTATTGAAAGGCAAAGAAAGTGAAACTGGAAAATATCTTTACGATATTAAACGTTTATCGATATTTCCTTTTCAAAGAGTCAATATCTGCACGGGTGTAAGAAATATATCAACAAAAGGTCTCATCAGCAAAGACTGAACAGAGTTATTTTTCATGATATGTCGTGACTTGCCTTAAGTATCTAAAACATTCGTGCAGCCAAATTGATGCTATTTTGCCCCAATATAGCTTAAATGTTAGTCATAAATCATTTCTAGTTTCCACGAATTAAAGATAGCAACATTTATCATGAAAAACAAAGCTTACTAGTTGTTTTGTAAAAAAAAAAAAAGAACAAAATAGCCACAATAATGTACCTGAATTAGATTACAGTAAGACTGACTTTTCCAAGATAAGTGTTTTTTCGCTTTTACCACTCATCGAAAAAAATAGATCAGTGCGTGTTCTGAACAGACTTAATCTAATGCTGAGGGGCTTTGTAATATCTATGGGTGGACGAACGGCAATAAACAATTGAGAACGAGATGTTGTCACGAAACGTTGACAATGAAAAGCTGTTATACAGTTAGTTTGTTACAGCTGACAGCAATTTGATATATTTTTTTTCTCAAGGCGCCCTGAAACATTCACCTGGCACCATCCATATTTGTTTAATTAAACAGTGTTGTACAGGTAGAGTAATGCATGAGCAACCTTTCCATATATAAGTATTTCCATCATGTTTCCCAGAGACACATCACATCACTGCTATTCTAAAGGATCATTAGTCGGTGAACTTGAGTGCATTTACCGGTTGACGCGAGCAAGACTCTCAACATATTTTTTTTTCATTGGAAAAGTAGATAAAAACGCACCGATAGGGCGAAGACTAAGGTTCCCTTGAAGATATAACTCTTAGATAGAGCTGAACACGAAAACTCCAGGTTAGAGAAAATATACAAATTGCACACTCTGTGTACGCAAAGTGAATTTTGTCTTCAGAGTCATTGTATAAATTTGTTAATTTTTGATAAACAATAACGTTTTGGAACTGTAAACGCAAACAGAAGGAAACGACTCTATCTTCAAGACAGTGGTAGTCATTATATAGTTTTATAACCTATTAATATAAACGGAGGAGTTTTTTGTTCGAATGCGACGACAAATTGGGTTTACGAATGAGAACATTATCACTTCATTAATGAAGTATGAATTGAAATTATTTAATATTCAGGTTCCATCTCTGTACTATCTAATTCTGGAATCTCACTGGCTATCCAGAGCGCGCCGATGGCTCATAACACAAGATTTTTATGTCTTAATGGCTTCATTCTGCTTTCCCGGCAAACATTCTACATGAATCTTAATGGTACTGTTATCTTGAGGATGAATTCCAATTGTATCATCTTTACTTTGAAAGCTTATGCCAATCCATTAATGCCGTTGTGTGAATGAAAACAAACTTCTTACGATTTTAATAGCATTTTCTATATTTTTTTTTTCTTTTTATCAGTCGAGAATCGTTGCTCTGTAATGCAGAAAACTCATCTCAAAATCATGAGCATTGTTTTTGGTGTTTTAAGTTGTAGATGAACGGCAAGAAGACGCACTTGTTGGCTGGGATATGGACTCGAGAGTCATGACCTTCTTTCTGCGGAACTTTATGAATCCTTTGAATTTCTTCTATTTACAAAGCCAATTCGTGCGTAAGTTTATTTGCCTTTTAAAAACTAAACAAAAGTCTCGAGTCTTCGCTACGTTTATTCAATTCTCGCAGGCATTTGTTTTGAATTTGAAATGCTTTCAAAATCTGTCAAAATCATTCTGTAAACACTAGTCGTCTTTAGCCTCTAGATAAATATGGCACTAAAATAACAGCGACACTTTTTAAGAGTTCATTGGGAATATTTTCCAAAGCTCTAGCGAGAGAGCCCTTTTTTCCCTCGTTTATGATTTAATCAGTACGTATGGTTGTTTAGAATGTCACCAGCTCCGGATTATGTATCTTAGTTTGAGATAAAAACTATTGAAATATCGAAGTAAATGTCAAAGGCCCTCCTTAGGTAATGTCAAAAGGGGTATCGGCAGTTAAAACTAAGAGTTTTTAGTTGATATAAAAGCTTTTTGTGGTAGGCCAGACTCAAATTCGAAGATAAGCACTTGCTTATCGACTACTCCGTCAAGAAAAAAAAAAAAAACAGTGCAAAATTGAAGATAACAAGGTTTTTTTTCGTTTTTCGAAATTAACATTAGATAGAATTCAGTTACGAGTGATATTGTTTTGATTATGGTGTAAAAGGGAAATCATTTCCATACTTATATCTGCCATAATGGACCCTCCCATAGAAGACAAAATAATCTAAATGTGATGACATGAGCTAGATTGAACACGCAAGACCGACACTCACTTACACCAAGGTAAGCTGAAGCGCTTGAGGTTTCCTACTTAATTGTAAATAAATATAAAGTTCTGAAACGTTTTAAATCAAAAATTTCATCAAATAGATACGTCTTAGAGCAGCTACTGGTGGTCGTTAAACATCGAATTACTCCAAATATTGGAAAGGTTAACAAGCATTTCGCTTATGATAGCTACATGAAGCAGGCTGTCATGAGCTCTGGAGCTGGTTTCCTTTTTTCATTTTGTTTACGATAAGTAAGCTCATCCTTACCATAAACGACATCCTAGCATAAAAACCATTAAAAAACAAAAAACGAAAACAAGGACATGAAATTTTGAGGTAACAATACTGTTGTAGCAGCTTCCTTAGTGTTCATTAACAAAGGCCCTCTTCGTTCGTTCAATCTAAAAAATATTTAATGCATGCTTTGGATAGCGTAAAAACAAGAACCAGATGGTAATTTCAAGTAAAGACCGATTTTGCATCAATCACGCCATGATTTGTCATGTCTAATGTACTTTAGTCTTTGGAGGGAGCAAAAAGTCCTGCTTTTGAGGACACGGCTCTTTCCAGTCACCTGTCACTCGAGAGTTTAGCTGTTTCTACAATAGAAAGCAGAAATAGGATTCATTTTGTCCAAGGTACAGAAAAATATTTTCTTCATTTCTATCTCAGTAAAAACAAAACCCAGTTTGAAATTCTGATTAATCTACCATCACCTACGTAACTGTAATTTTCACATCTCGCTCATGGAACCCTCCGCTAAAAACTACTCGCAAGTTAAGTCCCTCACATCTCCCTGGTAGCGTTCTAGCTACAAAAGAAGATGAAAAAATAGAGCTAAACTCAGCCCATGATTACCAGTCAATTCTTCTGCAGATTAGTGTAGCATGCAAGACCTCAGAGTGCTTTTGACTACCAACTTCAAAGCCGCTTCCTCACTAACGAAGAACCCCACAACACTCGAAACTAAATCGTCTTCCTTTTAGTTGCTTCTTTCACATGGCGTCAAAGCCACGACGATAGAAAGACTGTGGATCAACGGTTGCATCCATAAAGGACTGTGCCGCTTAAACATAAACTTTACTTAATTATGAATGTACAATAACGGCATTTCTTCTAATAAACAAAAAGTTTCAATCGATGCTACGCCAACCATATGTAAGGTTAGCCGTAAAAGTGTAACTAAATTCGACTGCTCTTCCAACTTACATTTGATAATTCCTTAGGATACGTCAAGACAATTTCGTGCAATGAAACTGACTTTTGACGAGCAATATAGGAACATGTAAGCAATCAGTGAACAACTGGACCGGGGCGCATTGATGACGCTTACAGGTACCAGCCGATGAAATTATCAGTTTCGTACACGGAAACCCAAGTCATCACTGTTTTGCGTGCTAGATACTTAATTTTTTTTGTGGGGGGGGGGGTTTAGCATCAGCCAAACTGTCAAATCTCTAACGTCCTCTCTTGTCAGAACACGGTGTGACACAGGTTGTTAACGAGCTCCTCCAGGCGTAAACCTTCCGTCCATATAATGGCCAAGAAGAAATTTTGCTACTGATAATTGAATGCTTTTTAGATGTAAAGAATTTAATTTGGTGAAATATTCATTCATAAGACTCTACATCGCTTATGGGTTATGTAGGAGAATGAAATAAAAGATGTATTTCACCTTACGTGCCATTCTTTAGAGTATTGACAACAGATCAGAT